CTCTTCCCTATAAATCCTTACTATTATCCATCTTGCCCCATAAATCCTTACTATTAACCTTACTCTTCCCCCTATAAATCATAACCAGTGATTGTTGTTCCATAAAGCTGTATGGGACAATAACCCAAGGCCCAGTGTGCTACAGGTTGTGCACTTTAATGATTCTTCGACAGTTGGAAATCGAAAAAGAGTAAGGTAAATGCCGCTGTCCTAGCAAAATTTCCCTCATTGCACACTGCATGGCTGAAGAGTAGGACGTAAAACTCTATTACATTCATTTCCATGATGCGTAACTATTCAATATGATATTATATGTTACATATCTTCGCTACTATGTATTCAATGTTCATCGATAACATTTTAATTTTGATATTTTTCTTTTTTCTCTTCAGGTCAGGGTGCTCAATAGCGGTTTTTACTATTGAGTAAATACTCCATGGTTGGGATACCATTCCTGTTGAGGTTATGAGGTTAGTATATTATGACTGCGCATTAAATGGGTATGAAATTGCATGCTTTACCCGCCATATATGCTTGAAAAATACCATCCATACCATGTTCGAGTTGGTCTGATGATCTGTAACCTTTGATACAACAGTTATCACAGATATAAATGTTCACATGGAATTAAAGGGATTGTAAAGAGGTTTACTAAATGTATATGTGTTGGGGACACTGATAGCATCAATTTGCACCATGACAATTTGAAACCAGATGTCTGGTATTCCACTAAAACTAAGAGATTGATGACGTCACTAATCTCGAAATATGCTTTTTCACATATGACGGTTAGTGAAGTCATCAAACTTTTAGTGGAATTAGCTTAAAGAATTTAATTCGCCCAAATACGGAGTAAGTTTTTATCATTATTTCATTGTACCTGCATAGCGTTGCCCGTCTCATTGGTTCACAAGTTGCAAAAAAGTAGGACATTTTTCATTTTATAATCATTGTTTTATATTGTTACTTTTTAGGGTTCCAAGTACATAGTAGCTCGTCGTCAGCTACGGACAACATGGTTAGATGTGGTGTACAACCTAGGTTTTTGGAGGTAGTTCACAAGGAGCAAAATTGTCGCGTTTCGAGTTGGACTCTCGTGTACTTAAGTTGTGGCAACCTGTTGGCTACCTTGTTAGGGCCACCTAGCCTCACATGGAACAAATGGAGGTAGGTTATGAGTTATTTTCATTTCGTAGTAGTCAGAAACTTGTTGATTTCCACCATGTCGACTCTGAAAAGGTGTGCGAGTTTACTTTATATATAACCCTTGATTCAGTAGTCTTTCTAAAGTTTCTATAACCCCTTTCAGAATGCTTGATGAATTTCATACCCCCTTTCTCCCCTATAAATCTTTACTATTATCCCCCCCCTCTATAAGTCCTTATTATTACCCTCTTCCCCCTAAAAATCCTTACTATTACCCCTCTTCCCCATAAATCCTTACTATTACCCATCCTCCCCTATAAATCCTTACTATTACCCCATTTTCCGCAATAACTCTTTACTATTACCCCTCTTAAA